GATCTTGCGTTTTCTTGTGTTTTCACCATATCCAGCCAACCTATCCGTCGATTTCCAGTCGATTTCATGTTCCAACCGTGCAATGTGTTCCGCTATTTCTGATCTTTTTGTATCCATGTTCCTGCAGAGTCTTTGATGTTCCTTGATTTGTAGGCCGATTTTTCGTTCTGTTTCACCGATATACTTCTGCTGACAGTTGCCGCATTTGATGCGATAAACTCCCGAACACTCAAGTTTATCCGTCTTCTCGTGTTGTGTTGGCAGACCGGTGAAGAGTGTTTTCCTCTCCTTTGTCATCACTCTTATATTCCATTTTCCTAATAAAGGTCGCAATTGTTGGCTCAGTTGTGATGAGGGCAAGCAAATCCACTTTTGGTTGTTATCCTCATTCCTGATCTGATTTTCATAAAATCGAAGTTGAAATCGGCCCTTTATAACCATTACATTTTTCTCTATAAATTCTCTGGGGTATCCATTACTAAGACAAATCCGTGTCAGTTTGTCCAACTCCTCGGTAAAAATTGTAATAGTGAAGGCATGATAGGATGATACAGGAAACGCGAATAACCCAGGGCATAAAGGGCGATACCACAATCGTTTAGCACACGTTTTGTCAAGGGATCGGCTTTACTTGTCTCTTTGACGAGTTGTTGTATGGTTCAAAGAATGACGATACTCCCTGACGATGCCGACTATGATGCCGTCGAAACATTTGGAAATGTTCACGATTTAACTTTGGAAATGATCATGCAGACAATGGACTCTGGACTAGGTGCCTTCCTCTGAGTCTTCTTACCAATATGACCATGTTGCGAAAACAAGGTTAAACAACCTCTATACTTGTTTATAGTTCATCAAATATTACTGTTGGCGAGACCTATCAATGCTGCTTTCACATTCGTGAACGCTCACACACATACACAAGACACAAATAAAATACTCATACAGGCACATACATAAACGCGAATATAAGTGGAAATGGACTAACCAAATCATTTTATGCTTCGTGAAATTATTTTTCTCTGTGGAATAAATGGTGTGTATGAATTTGCTAGTTAGGCGCCTAGCTTTGGTGAGTGTTTGGTGCTGACGCTATCGGTCAATTGATATGACAGAT